GAAATATGAAATTGTTTAATTTGTATTTGTAAGTCACTGTTTGAGGAGTTGAATTTTTTGTTTTGTTTTATTTGGTTTATTGTTTGAAATGGATATTTTTGTAAATAGGAACAGATATAAGATTTTTCTTCTGCTGCCTTTATTGTATTGTTTTATTGTATGTAATGTTTTGTTTTTAAAAATGAAATGAATTAATGCTATAAACTAAACAAAATTATCATTTTCATTTTCTTGAAAAGGAACGGAGGGTAGAATTTATAACCCACACATTTCATGATGTAGGCCGAAACTGAGCGTCCTCTCCTTGAAAGACCACCCACCACTGGTGGCAGCATCATGCTGAGGGGATGTTTTCCATCAGCAGGGARCAGGAAGCTGGTTGAGTTTGAGTCAGCTCAGACAGGAGTTCTGCTTCCAGCAGCAGCACGACCCTCAGAGCAGCTCCCACACAAATGAAATGACCCCAAGTTCTGCAGACGAGACGTGCCAGGCTCATAGAGAACAGAGACTTACTGTAACTGCTGCAAAAAGTGCTTCTATAAAATACTGACTCGAAGTGAGTGGGGAGAAAACACACACAGACACACACCGCTTTTCAGCTTTATGTATATTTTAATTTATTTTAGAAAAAAGTTATTTTCTGAGACAATTTTGGACCAGAGTTCTGCCTCAAACAAGATAAAGAAGCATTTTAAACGGACGTAAACATGACATATTAAAACATACACCAGCTCAAAATGTAATTAAAAACAAAATGCAGTAATTAGTGAACCACAAACTATTTTTTTCCCCACAATTGAACATGATAAATGTTGAGACTAAGAAAGTGTATAATTTTAGTTAAAAGTAAAGTGACTGAATTTTATGGCAGCAGAACATTTTCATACGAGCGGTTCCAGAGAAATATTTTGATTTGTCTTCCCAATCAGGATAATAACCCATTAATGTTTGGTCTGAATCTTAGTTTTAGGTTATTCTACTGAGTATTTTAAAGAGGAAACTCCAAACAATATTTGGATGTTGAGATTTACCAGCTGGAAAGGGAAAAGCTTTGCTATCTCACAGGGATAATGAGAAAAATAGGTGTTTTCTGTTTAAAATCCTGTATTTTGTTGCTGCACAAAAACAGCTTCAAAAATTTGTTTTAAGATTAAATTTTAGATGTTTCATTTAAACAAGCCACAGATGATTCATTTTATTCTGACAAAACATTTTAATCAACACTAGAACCTTTTCCTCCACAAACCACTTTGTGAATGAATCCTGTTTGATGTGTTGGGTCATAAACAACAAGAGACAGAGACGCTGAATCAGCAGAAAAGCTGGAACCAGTCTGAAGAACTCCACTAATGCAGGTTAAAGCTCTGTCGGGCAAAGAAGTCATCGTTTCTGATCACCGTCCAGAAACACTGCAGTCTTCTCTGAGACGAAGCTCATTAAAAATGAACTGAGGCAAAGTGAGGAGCTGTTCTGTGGTTAAATCAGAACCACMAACATCGTGTCCTCCGTCCTGAAGAGGAGACGGATCCCCCGGCCTGTTATCAGCCCAGAACCCTGCCTCTGATTGCAGACGCAGCCTTTCAGCAGAACTGCTCCTCCTGATGTTTCAGACCTTTAGTACTGAAAACGTGAGGCATAATGAAAGGAGAAATCCTGCAGAGACTCAGAACTGTTGGGACAAGAATCCTACAAAAGACCAGAATGAGAGACAACATTATCCTCTAAAACCTCCAGCAGCTGTTCTCTTCAGATCCTAGATGTTGTTAAAAGTGGAGATGGTAAACATGGCCTTGCAGATGAAATCTAACCTTTTAGTTCATTCATTTTCTTCTTCCTCAGCTCAGTTTCTTTATTCTATTTAAGACCTATATATGCCTTCATC